TTTTCTTTAAGCAGATCAATTAAGTTTGTTCACATTTTTATTAATTTAAGTACAACGCTTGAAAAATATAATATATAATTGTTTAAGTTTGTTGATTAGCCTTGTGTTGATTAGCAGCTGCTTCAGAAAAAAATTTTAAAGATATAATTTAATAACGTGAAAACAGAGAGAAAGATTTGATTTATCCTATTAAAGTTACGGTACTGAAATAATCTAAACTCTTTTCTCCTCTACCATTCATATCAAGTCAACTTTGAAATGGAATAGGTCACCTAGAAATGATAACGCCAAGAACCAGTGATCCAAAACAAGAGTAACAATGATATTTTTCGAGCGTTGTACTTAAAATTATTACGGTCAAGTGAAATAATTGGAAACATGTAAAAAGATAAACGCGAGCGTGACACTTTTCAGGCTTGACAAGTAAAAATGATATTGCGGTCGAGCATGATAATTGGAAAATGTGTAAAATGACAAAAGCAAACTACTTTTTAGTCTCGATGCTTGAAATTATTCCAGCACAAGAGAGATACAATAATTGGAAAGCATTTAAAATGACAAAGGTATGTTTGATGAGCCTTCAAGATTGATGCTTAAGTTTGTAATAGTCGGACGCAATAATTGGAAACCATCTAAAACGACAAAAGCAAAGATGATAGCTTTCGAAGCATAAGACTCGAAGCGCTTCGAATATTCAAACGACTTTAACAACTATAACTGCTTTTCGCGCCGCCGCGCCATGGCTTCAGCCTTCTGACACGTTTATCAAATGAGACGAAACGAACGCGCTGTTTACGCGAAAGAAAGAATAGGAAAGGTAAGAGTCTCTTGAGTTAACGAGTACGTACGAGGAGCGAACGACTTTATAAAGCACCGCATCCATCATGCTCGGTACGTGTGAACGACAGTTTCAATCTCGCTAAAGTGGCGGTTTGGTGGTCATCCATTAGCGTTCAAGATCTCGTACTATACACGGGTCAAATGCCTCGCGCTTCAAACGGCCTCAAGGGAATTTCTATCGCTATCGTTATCAACTGATTAGATTCAGATCGAATCTCTCGATGCAGGACGGCATTACGCGCAACCGTCATCAAACATATTTTTCACAGATTAAATCGAAAAGGAGACGGAGACGACTTCTGTGCGCAAGCATCCGAGACGAAAGATAAATTCCGGAAGCAAACAAAGGTATGATTCGTTTGAAATGCGACCACAATTCTCTTAGATAAGTTTTACGATTCGTATCGAGCACAGTGCAAGTGCGCGATCAAGGTCGTAACTAGATTTAATAGATCATAAGAAAGCCATCGTATCCGCATTTTCTGAAACTTGTTACAAGGCAAGATAAAAGCGGAATGCCATTTCCGTTCAAGAGAGAAGGAGATAAGTCAGTTCGCGAAATGCTAAAATTATTCGCAGACATTCACGGCGTGCCAGGCACTCTTGGACGTGTCGCTTCGCCGATTCTTCAAATGTCACTGCGACTTCAAAATGCAATAACTGAACTCGCAAACTTCCAAAGAGACGCGATGATTGTAAGACGAAGAAAAGTTTTCCCTCGTACTCTTCAAGTATATCGATCAGCCAGGGTTGCTATCGGCATTTAGGGCGACAGGTTACAAGCAAGCACCGAGAAACATACGCATCTAGATCGTTCTAGTTACATACAATAATGTCTCGTACAAGCGAGACAGATCGACCCGATAACATATCGCTAAAATGGAGAGAAATCCACTAGCCACTATACTCACAAAGTCGCTATTACACCATGGAAATCTTGTTCCTGATTTTTCCCTTAGTTTAAGATTAGCCGCGTCACGCCGGTCGTCAATTTGAATAAATTTTTCTAACCCATATATATTCACTCTTTTATCAATCAAGATTTTTATACAACCATTTTGTTAGTCTAATAAGAATTTGAGAAAGTCCTACTTCTAAGCCTCTAAAATTTGAGCATTTTTAATTCACAAAGGTTTTCCATATTATACAATTTTTTATCAAAAAATAGAACATCTTTAATAAATCATGATATAAACTGTTCAATATCAGCAAAAAAAGTACCAAAATAAAAACATATATTTGATTACAGCTATGTATAGTACAATATGTTCAAAATCTAAACTAATTGTGCAAGTAGCTACTTTATATTCATGGTTAGATCTAATTGCATTGTTATACACACTTTACGATTAGTACAACATGTTGCGAAAGCGAAACGTTGGATATAAATGAGTTAACATTCCCGCGGCGTATACAATTTCGGGAATTAAAATTTTAACTGAAGAGCATCCAATCCATCATAAATCTCATTATATCCTTCAGCTCATACACACGTATCTCTTAACGCACGTATCTCTTTTAATTTATATCTACGGCGTTTGAGTTACAACGTTTTTTCCAAGCTGACAAAGTAATCTCGCTAAGTCACGCCTGAAGGGTTCCATTGAACATCTCGCGCGAGCCGCGTTAATTCAACCACAGAATATTTTCACGCGGCACGACAAGAAGCCGTGCTCCACTTAACAAAGTATCCACGAGAAGACGTTCGTCTGACAACACGTGATAAAATTCGCACCGGTGTCACGTTCACCGCTCGCTGGAGCTAAAACTGATCCTGAATTAATGCGATAATAAATCACACGAACTTTAAGAGAGGCTGTACGCGCCTAAAGAAAGTGCATGTGCTCATCGCCTGCCTAAATTTATCATATTACCATGTACTGAATGCCCGAATCCCTGTCTATCCCTTTCATATCGCCTCAGCGACGACAAGGACAATAACGAAAACGATGACGATGTCACGATGATGGAAGCTTTATCTTTCATCCCCGCAAATCTTCCGCAATGGAATTCGCATATATCATCAGTAATAATGTCTCCGACAGTCGTGTACACCTGCTTTCTGATCGCAATCCTCTTGTTCGAATGAGGCGCCAACTTGAGCTGTTATTTCCGAGAAAAATACGATACATAGAAAGATCGATATTATTAAAATATCTAAAAATTTAGCTAGATGTAAATCTGAAAATGATTTTGTTGGTCCATCAAAATAATTATGTAGTACGCTCAAGCTAACTGCTGAAATGTCAAAACTTTTTGCAATATTGCTCATCACGATTGAAATTTCTACATAATTATTTCGATGATCAAATTTATTTTCAGACGTGTATCTAATTAAATTTTTAAATGCTTTGAAATCGTTCTTTCCGGAAAAATCATATTATAAAACCCGAGCAGTTGAACAAACATGATCGTCGATCTCGTCGATGATGACGTCGCCGCAAGTAATCTCCCGAGCGAACAAATTTTTACGATTCTCTATTCTTTTCCTCCTCTGAAAAATCCAAGTCGTTTTTCTTCAGAGATCGATTCTTCTTCTGTGTCTGTTTCTGTCTCTGAAACTTCACTACTCATTTTTCCCGTTGAAGAATTCATCATTCATCCCGTCATCCCAAGTTGTATTTCATTGTTTAAACGATGCTTCTCTTGAATTGTTATGAACGACTGATCGTACGCGTCATAAAGATAGGTCAGTTTCTGCACGATGAGGGGTAAATGGGAAGCATAATAACATTACAGAGATAGCTCTAGAAACAAGCTTGAATTCTCCGAGACTACAGTTTTCCCGTCGCGAGACAAATTGGAGCGTTCAACGTCAAGAAAACCTGTAATGCTTCTTTGAGATAACGTGTTTAAAACATTATGAAGTTGAAATTGTATGAAGAAGAGAATTTACAAATGATTTATAATATTATAGGTGTAATTTTTTTTTTTCAAATTTATCAATGAATTTATGACTGTAATTATAAGAAATTATAAAAAAATAGTTAAATATAATTAATCTTTTATTTTTATTTCTTTTCAACTATCTATTCCACTATTATTCACCTAAACATAAACAAGTGTTTGTGTGTAGAGAAATATATGCAACATGTAAACACATGTGAGTGCAGTATGATGAGCTCGAGTTCGTTTACTAAACTCAAATGACTGTGCGGATTAGCCTCAACCCCGCAAGCTGTATATTTATAGCAATGCTCTACGGATTATGTAATTAGAGATTTAGACAGCATTTGAAATTTACGAAGCGTACAAATAACATTTTCATGCCAGATTCACATGAAAACATATCTATCAATTAAATCCAGTCAATTAAAAACTAACATGTTCAATATTTTTATTTTAAAAAACAATTTTTATTATCAAATTTATAAAAAGAGAAAACATTCATAAGAACATTTATTTTTATTTTATATATATTTTATACATAATTTACTTGATATTCATTTTTCTAAAATTTTTCAAACACAAGTTTGCAAGTATTTACGTTAGTATATTATTTTTTCGTTTTTACAATTTTATTCTACACATAAAAGGCTAATCTTTAATCATTAACACAAAGCTCGACATAAAAATACAGATATTAAGAGCTTAGCTTGATCAAGGCCTAAATCTGCAAGAAGTGTTCTACTAAATTATGCGCGTGTCATAAACTTGGCGAGAATCAGGGGCATATAAGCACGCGACACGAGTGCTCATATTGTAACACAAAAAAGTTGGAAAACATAGCTTTAGCGATTCGTCGGGTATCTGCAAGCATGCGCCTGCCATCCACTAAAGTGAGAGGGAGAGAGAAAGAGAGAGAGAACATAGAGAGAGGGTTGATCGCAAGTAAGCAGCACGTGCGTAACAGTCATCCTGGCGCATTCGCCAGGACCGCTTGTATCTCGGAAGTTATCTTTCCATTATCGGATGTTACAGATCATTACTCGCGCAATAAACATTTACAATCACATTAACACTCGTATTCGCATTTCGCCCGCGAAAATTCTTAAAATTAGCAGTTATATTATTGCTTCGTTACATTTTTCATTACGAATATTAAAATAAATTTAAACATTTTATTCGTGGTGGTAGAAGGATTCCAAAGTAATTAACACATCTCAGATTTATTTTTTGATTTATTTTAAACGCACACTCCAGTGGAAATATTTAGAGTGAACGTCGCAAACGTCCGGTGACACGTATAAAATATGCACGATTATCACGAAGAATTACTGTACGATTACACGTATGCGCGTGCCCTGCGCGTATATTGCATCAAGAATGCGACTCATTTACACATTATTAACTCCCGACAGATTCTATTAGCGATCATAATTCCTATTATTTCCACAAGGATACAAATCGTCGGTATGGCAAGGCGAATTACTAAATCCTCACCTTCGAGGACGAGAGTTATCTATCCACTAAAGGATACAGGAAAGAATTTTACCCAACAATGTGTTCGCTCGAGTGGACCGTAAAAAATTCTAACATTCTAAAATTCTAGCATGACAATACACAAACATAATAAAATGAGGCACAGTAGTTCTTGGCCCGATCGAGCACCGCAAAAAGTGAAGGTGCGCGTTGATCCCTTATCTCGTGCTTTTACAATTATCCCAACGAGCCGCGAGATGATATATCGATTGGAACAAACTGCATCGCGATCTAATTGCCTGGAAGAAGTCATCCTTCTAGATCGATGTGTCCCAGGAGGAGTCACGTCCGTGATGATAAAACGAAGATTAATCGACGGAAGGTCATCCATAAATAAGAAACCCGCGAATTTCTCTGAGAATTCATCCGATGTGACTAACGAGACGAATATCATAAAAAATACGAGTCGATATTTCATGCCGCGCAGTCTTTCTTTAATCGAGACAACTGCAACTCATCAAAACTCGGTCATTGTGTTAGGAGAAAACATCGTCCGAAATCCATTGAAATGTAAATCGGACTCGCTCGAAAAGATTAATAATGAAATAATGACGCGAGATATGAAAAGAAACTCCATCTCAAGAACTACATCAGATATAGACTTTTCAAAATTGCTTTCGAAAAATGTATATGTTGAGGAAGGAAAGGAAGCACTCGCGCAACTGAAAAATAAATCTCCTTCATTCGCAGAAACGAATGCTTTTGATGTTATAGTAAATATTGCAAATGAAAGTCAACACACAGTCAGCATCGCGCAAACAAATCATTTGCAAACACGAGAAACAGATGAGATGAGAAAAAAATATCAAACTCTGGTTTCGCCCACATCCTCAGCGAGACACACATCTTCGCCACCGCATATCAAGGTGGTCGATTATGACGATTATGTGACATCCATGTCATTTTCATCGAAGAATGATCTTCATGCCTGTCCAAAGTGTACGTCCGAGGGTGTCCTTCGCTCGCAGATCGATCCTTTTCGTTCCCCTTCGCAGAACAAGAAAAACGATACCACGAACGCGCGTGATCTTCTGATCGAACGTGAAAAAAAGGAAGTCGAGAAGCATCAAAGCAAAGATATTTGGTACGAGGACCATCTAATCGGGGAAGCAAGAAACGTGGATAAAGATGGCAAAAAACTGCAACAACAAAGAAAAAATTACGACTTGTCGCCGATGCGACCGGCAATGGACTTCAGAAAGGAGGCTACTCTGAGACGACATTATTACCCCGAGGGAGGTTGGGGATATGTCATTGTCACGTGTTCAGTATTGGTGCATTTCATCGGGGTGGGTCTGCAACTCGCTGCTCCCGGATGCTGGCATATAACAGCCGAATTACAGTTCCAACATCCTCCGTTACACAGTGCAGGTATGAAATCTGATATTCTTAATACATTGAAAATTAACTTTATAAACATCTAAAACTTGTAACGTAATAATACTTATATATATATATATATAACGTAATAAATAAATACAATTTTCGATAGATATAATAAATTTGATTAATTAAATCTCTATGTATTTTGGCAACATGTTCACATCAATATTCTACTCGTTGATCATCAGTTATTATCTACATATTTTACATGCTAATTATGAATGATAAATTTAACGCAAATTTAACGCAAATATATTTATGAAAATTTTGGTTATTCATTAATATTCTCAGATAAATCTTAAATATAAATTAAAATTTGTTTAAATTAACTGCAAATTTGTTTAAATTAAAAATAAACTGCAATACGTTATATTGATTTCTGATGTTCATGTTGTGGGAAAAATGTCTTATTTTTACTAAATATTTTTTATTACATATTTGGTTAAAATAATGTCACACTTTCTATCTTTCTTGAACAAAATCATTTTTCATGTTTTTTGCGAACTAATAGCGGTCTATTTATCATCATAGACGGTAAATAATCGAAGTACATCGAGATAAATCTTGACGATGATAAGTATCCTAATTTTGACCTGGATATGTCTCCTTACGGATGATATTTTGATCACGTAACTATTCATACACCCTCTCAAATCTGGTCGTATCATAAATTATATACCTAGTACTACGGACACATTGGACACAGAGCGAAGAGATGAAAGCTTGAGAAATCCAGATCTTCAATCAATGTGCGATATCTCATAGATACTGTCTATTATATTTATCATCTATATTTCATACTTTTTAATAAAAATGTATATAAATTATTAAAATTACTTTTCTATTATTCACACAAAGTTAAAAAATTACACATTTTTTAAATAAAGAGTTCGTACCAGTGGTAAAATATTATATTTGAGAAAAATGATAAAAACAATAGAAAATTTTATTATCGCCAATTTAATATTTTAATATCAGTATTCTAGTTTAACGCAGTGAGAGGTTGTGATTTTCAATTTAAGTTTTATCCAAAATAAAATCCGTACATATAGATTAAATATTGATGTAAAAAATAAGTTTGCTTTTGTTACAAAATACTGAATAATAAATGCAAATCAGATCTACATATATTTTGGTGAAAAATTTTAATTCTGTTACTATTATGTTTCTCTAAAAAAAATTACTATATCTCAATAAATATATTTTTTTAAATATTTGTAAGTAAATATTTACTTACAATAAATAAATATACTTACTACTCAATGGAAAAAAATGATAGTTAAATGATTCTTGTATCAAATAAACATATGTTATTCAATAAATGTTTACTCTTACTAAAAAAATATTTCTTAAGTAAAGTAAATAGTAAATTTTTTTTCAATGTAATGTTTATTTATCAGATAATTCAATGTAATGTTTTATTTATCATTCTTAAGATGAATACAGTTTACATAACTTGACGAAACTTTATTACATAAGAATAAAATAATTGTGAAAGTTTTATCTAAAATGAAATGTGCCATCGAGTAACATTAAAAGGAAATAATGCTTACTATTTCTAAAGAAACTCGGTAACTGTAGTCGAAGTTGGGATCAAAGTTATACTCAACTTTGCACCTCTGACACACATTGATTTTCTTGCCGCGTTTCCCACGGGCCAAGTTCCAATGGATTGACCGCAATTTGTTTGCCTTGTCATGTTCAAAACGCAGTTTTTACAATCTCTACAGAATCTTTTGATTCTGACAAAATAAAGTATTTCTTTCAATGTTACTTTTCATTAATATACATCATTAATATACTACATCAAAAAGATGTATTAACGATATATTAACAGTATCAGTTAATAGCAGTCTAATTAAGAAAAAAATAATTTTGTTAATTTTTAATGATAATATTGATGAAAAAAATATTTTATTGAAACAACAGTATAACATTATTTACTTTTATTAATATATTATACTATATTATGAATCAACAAAATTAATCAATTTCAATTAAACTGCTATTATTTACTATGAATAACATTTTTTGCATATGGAATTTTAAGAAATTTTTTTTCAATTATATATACAGGAAGTAAGAAAGTTTTTGATCGAATAAACAAAACAAAATCTTTTTTATAATAATAAATAAATATTAACTAAGATAAAAAAAATGAATACAAATCTAGAAACGAATCAAATTTCAAGTTTGTATCAACTAAGATTATAATTTCATAATAAAAAATTTAGTAAGTTTTTTCAACAGCAATAATTTTTATATATATTTCCGCATCATCACTTATTCTGAAAACGTAGAGATACTTTTCAGCCGGGCCTTATATTTTCGGAATTAATGCATACGAAAGAAGAATACTTCCCATGCGTAACATCGTAAAACGTACGTGCGAGAAAAATCAGGACAACGAATCGACAGTCGAAACGCGTCGCGCGGCTCACGTTCGGCCTAATGCGTGCAAAGCATTGCGATGCATCTACGAAACATCACTGGATTTCACACATCGAGGATAGTTCTCGTTCGCAATCCACCGATGTTGGTGTAACTTAATACTCGGTTTTATTTGTTACTAGGCACCCTTTCACGATGAATCCAATTGCAAAAGTGAAAAAAAAAGAATATAAATAAAAAAACTTGGGAAATGTGGAATTGTTACAATGAATGAAAAAGTCCTTCGCATTTTTAGTGTACCTGAAAAAGTACTTTGCATTCTTGGTGTACCGTTGTTACCATATTACGCGTAATATCCGTAAGTACTCCATTGATAGTGAATTTTACTTACTTTAAGAATAGATAAGAGCGCGAGATAAACTTATCATAAACGCCTCTTTTAAAGGAAAAACATTAAATATGTACGAAGACTGCCTTGTTTGTGACTCATTTAAATATCGCGATAAATAAAGCGACGCGCGACGACGCGTAACAGTAACATAACTCGATTTCGAATCATTTTCTCAGCACGAAAATTCAACGGCTGAGACATCCGCTTCAATTGTAAGAGAAATGTTTGAGAAATGAACCGCGAAATGGATGAACAAGCTGACTCGGCGAGGTCGTGCGAGGAACCGGCATATCGCAAACGTCGCCGCTCTTACAGCGCGGCTATAAGCGAGGAGAATTCGCTCGACGAAGATGACAACGACGAAGAGCCAGAGGAAAAGGAATCCTATCCCCATCGTGACGGTGCAACGCGAGCACGTTGCTGCCGGCAACGCGAATGCATCGCGCGGAAAATATCCAGTGTGGAATCCGAGACCCGCACGTCGACCGAGAGCCTCGTTTCGAAACGGGCGTCGACGAGAGAGTCTTCCGGCGACATTGCGAAATCATGGAGCGAGATCGAGCTGCCCGAGTTACTGTTAACGCATCCGGAGATCCTATCACGTATGATGCGATGCCGTTGCTTCCTGGAGCAATTCTCCGCGTGCCAATACCGGTGCCGTTGTGTTCAGTGTCAGTACCAGCGCCGGAAGATTTCGTCCACGTCCTCTTGCTTCGCCAGGGATTCGGTTCAAGGAGTTGGCGCGAGGCGGAAGGACTCCGGAAATTCCGTGTCTACTTGTCAGAGCTTCCTGCCCCCTTCTTCCGGCAGAAACTCCGTTGGCAGCCTCTACGTCGACATCGGGGACAACGGGACGACGACGATTCAGCGTCGGCACTCGATTGCCGCCGGTCCGATACCACATCGTCGGTACTCGGATCAAACGCACTCGTTGCACGGCTGCAAGATCGGCCGCGTAGATAATCGCAGACTCTCCGTGCAGCCGCTCGTCGGTGATGCAATCGGAAACTGCGAAGGCACCAGAGGTGCCACAGAACCAATCATCGCTAGTAATACTCGTCCGCGAACATTTCCGAAAGCGACAGTTCACATGACACAATCAGTCATTCCATTTCATCCTGAGAGTACCACGTCCATCGATATTAAAGATTCAAAAAATAACAAATCCCGAACCACTAACGAATCTAACAGCGATGCACATCTCGCTGCTAGATTACACCTAAGATGATGAGAAGGCGATTCTCCGAACAACTAATTCTCGAGGGAGGCCTCGGCAGCGTTGGCGAATCTGAGAATCTGTTCGATCAACTCGAGAACGTGGAGGAGGCAGAGGAATCCTTCACTGCGATAAACGCTCGAAAAAAAATCACGCTCAATAAGCATTACTACCCGGAAGGTGGCTGGGGATATGTTATTATCATAATAACGATTCTCGTGCACCTAATCTCTCATGGGCTGCAACTGGCATCCGGCTTGCTGATGAATCCGGCAATGACGCGATTTGAGCAGACAATTGAAAACTCAGGTACAGAAAGACATTATTGATTTGCTTAACAATCAAATTGACGCTAACATATTTACTCGTATTTTATTGTTTAATGAGAGATGTCAATTATAACAATAAATAAATTTATAAAAGACAGATAATAATTTATGAAAACCGTGTTTTCATGCTTTAATGATTGATTATGTAATTTTACGTGAAAATTTTCACGTTCATTTTTTACTTTTCATTTTTCATTTTTTATTAATCAGGATTTCGTGAAACTTTTTACGCATAGCGATTATACATACAGCTTGGAGATGTACTAACTTATAAGTCGACATTCCCACAATACATTAACTTTCAAGATTAATTTCAAGATAATAGTATCTATATCTGTCAAGATAATCTATCAAAGAACATAACATGGCTAAACTACATTCATTCTATTTTCAAAATATATTTATTAATTTCTCAAATTTCCTTTACCACGGTTCATGGCAAAAAAGTTCACGTAAACAATTTCATATTTTCACGGTTGGAAGAGTTACATGACCTCGCGATCGTGGATGATCGTAAAGTTCACGTAACTTTTTACTTTTCACGTTTCCGTCCTAAGGGAAATGTTACATTGCCCCCTGATTGCGTATTTATCATCAAATGTTCGTCTCTTACGCTAAGAGAAAAGTTTTTATGACTATAACTATATAAAATAACTATATAAAATATTATAGTGAGAAGCTTCATTTTTATAGTCATTACTGCTGTAATGTTAATAATAATAATTATATTTATAATTTTGTTGGATATATAAGTACACGGTTTTTAAATGTATCTATATTGACATATAAAAGAAATGGTATAAACATTTCTATCAAATTATTTGCCTTTCAGATCTTTAATTTTTTGCCAGCATAAGGATGCCGCGGCAAAAAAATATTTCGCAGCCAATTTATATTATTCATATCGAAATCATCACTTTCAAATCTTTTAAGCTTAGCACGTTCTTTCCGATAATATTATAAGTCTCATAAATTATTCTGCAAGTTGCTTCACTGGCAGTTTTATCCCAATAAAAATAGCATAGAACAAAATATTAATGTAATAAATAATAAATATGCATTTTTCAACGTTTACATTAAATATGTAATTAATTGTTTAATTGTAATAAATCAGCATCACTAATGGAAAAATAATTGGAATTGGAAATACACTACTTAAATACATCATTATTAGTATTATCTAAAATTGATCGCGGGAATTTTATTTATACATTTAATGCTCGTTTCTATCAGTGTAGATTAATCTTAATCTTGATTTAATTTACTCTTATTTTTTTTAATTCTAAGAGTTAGAAAAAGATGAAGAGTAATAAATGAACCGAGATTAAAGTTAATTTACTTTGGTGAAAACAGGCATTAGATATGCGTAAGTTCCCACGGGCAACTTAGGTGGTACCAACAATGGTGTATTTAAATTTCCGTGCTCAATTATTTTTCCATTAGTTAATTAATCTGCATGATAAGGCAGACATAAGATGTACCAAAAAGAATTGTTCTAAAAAACGACGATAAAATTATAGCAATTTTCAAACTACATATTTTTTTTAGTACATAAAATTATAAATAAAATTATTATTATTGATTTTATAGCAGTAACTATAGTTATAACTATAAAAATAGAATTTCCTTAATTAAAATAAAATAGAGTAAACCATATTATATAATTATTTTACGATGCAATTATAATCATAAATAACACAAAATTTTCTCAGAGTGCATACGTTAATTACAAATGTTAATTACAAATGCGATGTACGCATTAAAAATAATCAGAATCAGACTGACACACTTATTAAAAATGTATTAAGAAATGTAGGTCATAAATGATGCGTAAGAAATGATTAATTCCTATCATGCGTATATTCGTTCGTAAAAAAAAATTAATAACGCGACCGTGTGCTTTCTTTCAAAAGATATATCTTAAGAAATTTATGATGTTCGTAAAGCAAAAATAATAACGTAAGACAACGTCTTGGCACATCTCGTTCCGCGTCATAATTAGTAAATCCAATCAAGACAATGTGCGTTCGACAGGCGCGCAAAATCAGGAGAACTGACCTCTCTTCTCTACAGAAACTAATCGATCACAGTCGAGTGAGTAACCGAAACGAGGTGAACATATACGTCATATTACGGTACTCGTTAATATGCAAATGTACGCCACCCACGTTGATTAATATCCGGTCAAAGACACGTTGTTTGTACTCTGGCAAGACTTTACGAAATTTTCAGTAAATTGCAAGAGAGGAGATATCCAAGATATACATTATGTAAACAATTCGATATACCTGCAACGACTGTCGTCCAAACGGTACTCATCTACCGTAAACTATGTTAGAACAGCAGAGTACAAATTTGCTTCTATCTTATGATCTGTAATTTAGAGCACGCGTCTATACGCATGTATGTAAAGTGTCATGCACAATGTGGATACAAACACGTCTGTTAATTACGTCGCTAATTAGATTAACGCGATCATTGATTAAAATATTTATTACATCATATTAAACAATATTACTAAAGATAAATGTAAGATCATATATATGGCAAAATCAATTGATAATTTTAGCAATAGATTAATATTTATAATCAATAATTCAAAATGCACATCATTTCGCAGTGATACGAGGAATAAATTAATATAAATTATTTATGTCAACTGCAGAATTTTATAAATATTATTTTACACTTATAAATTCTCTCTTTGCAATTTACATTTGTATTTTGAGTATTTTATTTATTTATAAAAAATTATTACCGTGTTTTGCTATGAATTAACTCAACATTCACTTTTCTATTAAAAAAATGTATAATATTATATATATTATATTTAAAAATATAAAAATAATGTACTAATTTTTAATTTAATCTTTAATTTGAAGGTAATAATAGGTTGAATCTATTTACACAGTTCTTTTGACACAGTTTCGTAATATATCAAAAGTTCATCAGTGATAAATGCGCGAATTATAATTAATCAGGAACTATTTGTCGAAGAGAATGTTAAATCAGACGAAAATTTCAACATAATGGAAAACGGAATGAGGTAACAACTCACGACGGAGTATTTAATCAAATGGTAAATTATTCGAAAACACTTCATCGAGATAAACATTTATCAAAAGAAAAAAAAATCATAGAAAAGAAAATTGCTCTAACAGAAAACTTTTTTAAATTATCATACGAAAAATTTGATATCGCTTGACCTGCGATTTGGTAGATGTGATTTGTCCATGTCCAGTTAATATAAGTTAATATAAGTGGGTCAGTACTCCTTTAATGAATTTTTCATTGGATAGATTGTCTGTTTCATCATTTCTCTTTCAATTCCCGTTTC